ACTGGAACCATGGTACTGGAACCTTGGTACTGGAACCATGGTTCTGGAACCTTGGTACTGGAACCTTGGTACTGGAACCTTGGTACTGGAACCGTGGAACTGGAACCTTGGTACTGGAACCTTGGTACTGGAACCTTGGTACTGGAACCTTGGTACTGGAACCGTGTAACTGGAACCTTGGTACTGGAACCTTGGTACTGGAACCTTGGTACTGGAACCTTGGTACTGGAACCGTGGAACTGGAACCTTTTGTACTGGAACCTTGGTACTGGAACCTTGGTACTGGAACCTTGGTACTGGAACCGTGGAACTGGAACCTTGGTACTGGAACCTTGGTACTGGAACCGTGGAACTGGAACCTTGGTACTGGAACCTTGGTACTGGAACCTTGGTACTGGAACCGTGGAACTGGAACCTTTTGTACTGGAACCTTGGTACTGGAACCTTGGTACTGGAACCTTGGTACTGGAACCTTGGTACTGGAACCTTGGTACTGGAACCTTGGTACTGGAACCGTGGAACTGGAACCTTTTGTACTGGAACCTTGGTACTGGAACCATGGTACTGGAACCGTGGAACTGGAACCTTGGTACTGGAACCGTGGAACTGGAACCTTGGTACTGGAACCTTGGTACTGGAACCTTGGTACTGGAACCTTGGTACTGGAACCGTGTAACTGGAACCTTGGTACTGGAACCTTGGTACTGGAACCTTGGTACTGGAACCTTGGTACTGGAACCGTGGAACTGGAACCTTTTGTACTGGAACCTTGGTACTGGAACCTTGGTACTGGAACCATGGTACTGGAACCTTGGTACTGGAACCATGGTACTGGAACCTTGGTACTGGAACCTTGGTACTGGAACCATGGTACTGGAACCTTGGTACTGTAACCATGGTACTGGAACCCTGGTACTGGAACCTTGATACTGGAACCCTGGTACTGGAACCTTGGTACTGGAACCCTGGTACTGGAACCATGGTACTGTAACCTTGGTACTGGAACCATGGTACTGGAACCTTGGTACTGGAACCCTGGTACTGGAACCTTGATACTGGAACCTTGATACTGGAACCTTGGTACTGGAACCATGGTACTGGAACCTTGGTACTGGAACCTTGGTACTGGAACCCTGGTACTGGAACCATGGTACTGGAACCTTGGTACTGGAACCCTGGTACTGGAACCATGGTACTGGAACCTTGGTACTGGAACCTTGGTACTGGAACCCTGGTACTGGAACCTTGATACTGGAACCTTGGTACTGGAACCCTGGTACTGGAAAGGGGATGTCTGCAAATTATTCACCCCACTGAATAAGCCTTAATAAATAATAATGGGGGTTGATAATTTGTGTGGCGCTGTATATTCTGTAGTTAAGGACTGCACTGTCGCGGAGTAAACCAATTTTTTGGGTAATAATTGGTCTCTGAATCGTAAACTAACTAAGCAATTAGAATGAAATTGAGTGCTCAATTTAGCACCAAATAAACCGGAATTTCCAGCTACGAGAATGTTAAACATTTTTTTTTTTTAGGAAGGAACTGGCAATTTTGGTTTTTGTAACCTTGAAAATATTGAGGATGTTTAGCGAGAGTTAATGTGTTTGTGAACACGCAAACACACTAACATTACGGCACCAGCACCCATGTAACGGGTGTTGGTGCTGAGGGGCGGGTGGGCGGACGTGCTCCAAGCACGCACGTTGCTATAGTCCACACGTGCACCAACACCTGCATATGTATAACCAACCCTGCCCAGGTTGGTTAATACATTTTGTCCCAGTTGGTTATGCCTACAGTAGCAGCGATGCCAGACACGCTGCCCATCAGAGCACTCCCCCTTTACGTTCTGCCTCAGCACCCTGAGTGGCGACCACTCTCACAGCCGCTGTGGAGCTGTTCCCTGGACGTGAATTGAGCTGTTGTTAGCCGGTCAAGTTGTTCAAAGCGAGCATTGTGTGTGTTCCTCTTTGTGGCCCGGGCTACCAAGGTGACCCGGGATACTTGTAGGGAGGGTAGAGGCTCACGGCCGGTTTGTCCTCACATTCTTGACTCAAACGGGAGTGTTGGAGGATCACCTGAGTGTTAGCAACATCATCAAAGTGTTGACAAATCGTTGCAGGCTCCGTGTGTTGCAAGGTCACGTGACACTACTGCAGGCTCCGCCCTGAACAATGCGTGTCATACCTCAGAGTAAGTTTATGGGTCATCTTCCACAATAGACAAACGCTGTATCAATATTTATAACCAATTGGTGTGTGTGTGTGTGTTTACTAGTTGTTTACTAGTTGTGTTTTTACGGGGGTTGAGCTTTGCTCTTTCGGCCCGCCTCTCAACTGTCAATCAACTGTTTACTAACTACTTTTTTTTTTCCACACACACACACACACACACACACACACACACACACACACACCCCAAGAAGCAGCCCGTGACAGCTGACTAACTCCCAGGTACTTATTTACTGCTAGGTAACAGGGGCATTCAGGGTGAAAGA